CGCTTAATGGTGATGGGCAGGCGGTTGGAGATGAGGAGGAGACGTCCCTCCTGGTCGGAGTTGGTAGCGGGCGCCGACATGATTTTGCTGACGCTTAGCTGAGACACAGGCGACGATGGCGGGTAGATGCAGTTCGAGTATGCAGTGTGGATAAGGTGCGTCTCAGTAAGGTATGAAAGCGAAAGCGTCACAGTGTCCTGGTCGAGGACAAGGGTTTGTTGATTACGTGGTAGAGGCAGGCACGAGTAGTGGGGGGAGAAGGTGAGGAGGTATTTGCAGAATGTGGGCAATGCTGCGTCGTGAGTGTCGTGGTTGTAGCAGCAGCAGCAGCAGCAGCAGCGATCGTGGTGTTTGAAGAAGGGGAGTTCTCGATGCTTCTGCGGGGTGATTGAAGCCAAAAAAATGGGAGGGTCGGTTGCTTTTACTGATACGGTTCGGGAATTGGCCCCTCCTTCGCTCCTGCGCTGCGCAAGAGAAGCAAGCCACATCCGGCAAGGGGGAGGCCAACTCAAGATTTCCATCATGGTGACGTCGTTGGGGGCCCGTGCGCCAACAAAGCAGCAAGTACCCAAGCTGCTGGGGGGCACGGTCCAGTCATCATCTCTTTGGGTCGTCCCCATGTTTGCATTGCTGTCACCGGTACTGATAAATAGCCATCGAGATCCCATATGCACTGCACAGGATTGACTACAGTACCCTGCCAAACTGCATTGTTATCGGCAGCTTGCATGTGATGAAGAATTGCGACAATCAATTGCCCAAACTTACCCGACGATCAGGTCATGCTCGCGGCCCTTCGTCGGGAGTATCCGCCGCAAATGTGGCTTGCCGCTTGCCAATTGTGTTCTAGCGCACACTCCGTTTTTCAATGATGGCATGGCATTTCGAATTCCCCATCGACAAGTCCTACCGTATCGATAATCACGATCGCGAGATCGCGCTGACGCCACGTCCAAGAAATTGATCAACTCCAACATCATTAGTAACATCCAAATGGCTCAATTAACATGTACAACCTTCTCCGGGTGCGCACTACCAGTGCACGGTGCAGTTTATATACAAAAAGCCCCTCTAGCTCCATATTTTCCAGACGCCTTGAACACCGAGAGACCAGCTACCCAAGCAAGCTCTTTTCCCCCTCACCCTTCATCCGCCGAATCACCGCCCCTACCACTCGCACGCACATCGGGTCCACCCACCGATTCCACAAACCTGCCAGCCGATACAGCATGTAGAAAAACGTGGCAATGGCACATCCCATCTGCAACGGCGGTCCCCTTGCTAGATCCTTCGGATTACCCATCTCGTCGACCTGCGGTTTCATCGCGCTCGGCAGGTACACCATCCATGTTAAGAGCGTTTTGATCAACTGGTTGTGCAGCAGGTACACCGCGAAGCTGACCCGCCCCATGTAGTTGCACACGCTGGACGTGAGTACGCGCCGCGCCGGTTCGCAGGTGAAGATACCGACGAGGATCATCGTCGCCCCAAGCGAGTCCCAGTGTCGCCGTAGGTCGGTCCCCTCGGGTGTTATGGCCGTCATTATGCGCTCCATGACTGCACTCCACGGCGCGTTGCCTGGCGCATCCTGGGGGTAGCCACAGATGAACATTCCGACAGCCATCAGAATCGGTGGGAGAACAGCCATAAAGCCGTGGACTCGCGGCGGTATCTTTCCGCTCGAAGCTGCAATGTCGGCGAGAAACATGCCTGCGGTGATGTTCATCATCATGAGTGCTATTAGATCTGATTAGCTTCCGCTAGAGCCATCGGCAACCAACATACCATTGTGAGACAGCCACCCATACACCCACATCACCACCAATACCATGCGCCGTGCCCGCGGCGCCACAAGGACCGTCGCAAACAGCACAATATACACCACCATGCTGCCCTTCAAGAACAGCGACAGCGTCCACTGCGTCCCATCATAGTTCTCCTCCCATGCCCCCGTCCACAACCCGACCTGCGCCTTAACCAGACTAACCACTGCCTCAACCACACTGCCACTCGGCCCGCGATACCCCTGCCGAATCCACGTCGAGTCCACATGCTGTGTCATCTGGTACGCCCCGACATTCGCCAGCAACCAGGAAAGGAGCAATGCGCACGCCGACGGCAACAACAGGCGTCCGGACCGCGCGAGCGCCGACTGCGCAACCGAGTGGAAAGCCGAGTCGATGTCCCCGGCGTATGACTTCGACAGCGGCCCGAGAGCATTGACGTAGCCTGTGATCAGGAAGAAGAAGGCGACGGCCATGCGTCCGCCGACGCAGAGCCGCAGGAACGGCAGCTGGAAGAGTAGAGGCGCATCGGTTGGTGATGCGGCGGGGGCGTGAAGATGTGGCACGAAGGATGTGCAGAGATGGCCGGTTACGACGATAAAGGAGGCGATCCCACGGAGGCCCTGGCCGGTTAGCTGGATGAAGCATTACAACGGCATGGGCTACGAACGTCTATCCAGTTCGCACCTCGCACGACGGGTGCGCGTGTCTCTGATACTGACATGGTCGTTGCTCGATACGTCCGTCTACTGTTCTCCAACCTCGATGGGAGCCCAGACGATAATCCACCAGCATGGACTCGTCTGAAAAGGTCAACTCCACTCATGCAAGGAGGTACTCGAGAGCAGCTCACCATATACGGAGCAAGCCAAGCACCTCCTACGCCCAGATTGCAGATAAGATATAAAAAGACCGTCGAGCCCAGCCCGATCGTCACCGGGAGTGATGTGTAAATGTGAAAATCCGCCCTAAGCATTCCGCCCTCCAACCCCTCAGTCCCGTGTCCCACTGCGACGCCGTCTCGGCTCTCCCCATCGCGCCCAGTCGTAGCCAATTGCGCCCCATTTCCCACAACATCCGGAACCCGGCACACTCACCGTTAACAGAGACGCGCGGCCATAGCGAGAGAAGCACCAATGCGCCATCAGTTCGCGCCCAGACGGGCATTGGAATAGCCCACATCCCCCGCGTCAGTAGCCCCATCAGGGTTCATCGCTCGCCCGCATCTCGCATCTTGGCGGTGATACGTCCAACGGTTCAGGTGCGACATCAGACCAACGTTGTCGAAGCGGAGCCCACTCGCCAAACTCTGGGCTGCTGGGCGTCCATCGCCCTCATAATTAAGATCTCGGCCAATGGGGCCGCCCTTGCATTGTGTGCCTCTGTCTAGGGCGGTGGGTTCGGCGCATACTCCCTTGCTGCGAGATGGGGGAGGCGGATGCGAGGTGAAGTCGTTGTACCCCCGGCCCCGCATACGGTACGCAACGCAACGTAATGCGATCAAGCCACTACCGCCCGCTGTGCCAGCCGCCGGCTCCATCTCCGCCGTCGTGCGCAGCCAGCCGGCGCGGCAACGCTCTTGGCTCCTGGGCAGATGCAACGCCGTTCAATCGTGCGATTCAGGCACCGCACACGTAGACGCGCAAACCTCAAACCGCGCAAGAGCGGTACAAGTGGATTGAAACGGCCGGGATATCCCCCCTCACCCCCACTCCGGCACCCCATATCCTCCGTCACCCGAGACCATCCCCGATGAGCCTTGGTCGTCTTGGATTCTGGCATCAGATAAAGCCTTGAGCTGTTTCCTTTTATTTGCCCAAGCATAGCAATGTCCCTTCATCAAGCCCAAATATGCTCGCCTTGGCCACTGGAGCAGTTCACGCCTTGAAAGGGAACATCTTATCTCTTGGTAACGGTGGGAGATAAAGTCACCCTCGCAGCCCATCGGGGCCTTGCAATCTCCGCCGTGCGCACTCACCACGATCTCACTCGACGCCGTCGATGTTCAAAGCTCTAGTTCATATCATAGTGTGGCTTAGGCGTAGATCGGCGTTTGTACTGCAAACAGCGAGCTGACGTAGACGAGAAGATCAAGGCTTGACGACAGATGTCGGACGTTGCTAGTTCAGACGGTAGTCTAAGGCTGCTGACGCGGCCTACGGAACTCAGCCTCGCCGGATTCACGCCTCCCGCGCCGGTGGCGGGAGCGAAGCGGCTTGATACAAGCTCAAGCCCGCGATGCTGCGCGTTTTTAGTATCCTCAGTGGCTGGTGTCTACGAAACATCGTTGACGTCCAAGCGTGTTTGGTGTTTGGTACAAACACTCCGATTAAAGACTGCCAGGCCAGATCCCAACCGGGAGCCGGGTAGATAGCCCAGGCACGTCCATTGAGCGCAGGCCGCGTCGAGCCCTGTTTCGCAGTGAGGGAGTTGCCAGGCTAGGATATTGATATCGGGCCGTCAGGGTCATTTGGAGTGCTCGGCGGCAGTCCAGAATGATCTATGATAGGAGGGTCTCCGGTCGTATGTCCAGATATGTCGAATAGCAATCAAGGGCACGGCTGGTTCCTACTGTGGCTTTAGAAGCGAGTCGCAATGCAAACGAAACAGAAGTCGAGGCTTCGTTGGTCAACCAGGTTGGTAGGATGCAGTACAGCCGCGGTGATATTGTGGTGCCGAATCGATTTCAGCCCAGTACCATAAGCACGACGCGTGTAGCGCCTACGTGGTACAGGTCCGCATATGGCCAATATACAACGGATACAGATCGCAACAGCGTCTGATTGACTTGGGCTTCATCCGTTGTCTTCACCATAACCTCTTCCCCAACAGCCCGCACCAGGCGAACGCATCGATGAAAAGCAGACCATCAAAAATTATGCCAGTGAGGCCCCCGAAGGAGACTCATACCAACACCTCTCCACGCTGTGCAATGCAGGAGGTCCTGGCAAGCTTCCGCATTCTTGAGCGCGGATAGCTCCAACAAGGTAAGTATGAAGAAAAGAAGAAGAGGAGGAGGGAGGGGAGTGGGCGGTATTTATACCCGAGGGTGGTGGTCAGAGCTTTGAACTTCGGAAAAACGGCGGATTTGTTCCGAGGGGAGGGCGCGTCCAAGCGCGTCCTACGGGTGGGCCAAGGCCGTGCTTTGTGCTTGCTTGCTTGCTTCGCGACGGCTTCGAGTGCAAATCCGTCTGTCCGACGACACGGCATTGAGGAGCCCCAATGGCTCAGGGGTAGAGCGTCGCACTAGTATTCCAGCAGTCTATGCGAAGGTCCGTCGTTCAAATCGGCGTTGGGGCATCGCGCATCGCGCATTGTCTTTTTGCACCTTTACTCACTGCTCCACTATGTCAGAGACAGCAGACGTCGGCTAATCTGAAGTTTGTGCGCTGGAGATGATCTTTTTGCTTCCCGTTTATGGGAGCTTCGGTGAACAGTAAGCAGGTTCAGTAAATGTCATAGAGTTCAATGTTCATTCAAAGGCATCGGCCTAAAGCCGGTCTCCCTAGCCGAACATGGCGGTATCATCACCCATATGCTCCCAAAAGCAGTTCCCACGCTTCCAATCATTTTCCTCCCATAACTCCACGCAACGCCCAAAATGCCATCCCCTCAACCCCCACCACCTCACCTCTCCGCACTCCTCACCGACATCCCCCGATCCGGCGTCCAAAGCGTGGTAACCGGACTCGCAGCCCAAGTCTGCAACTCGGCAGGCTCGTCCCTGCCCGCCGGCACCTCCGCCGGCGGCCTCGCATACGGCACCGGCCAGACACCCTGCGCCCTTCCATCCCACGCCGGATCCCGCCCATCCCATCCCCCTCCGTCCGCGCCCTTCCAAGTACTCCCCGCGCCCCCGCTCTCCATCTGCGTCAGCGGCACCGCACTCCCCGGCCGCCGCCATGCCTTGAGTTCCTCGATTTCGCGCCGTAGACGCCGCATGCTGGACCGGCGGTGGAGGAGCATGCCTGCCACCAGAAGGAGGGCGAGGCCGACGACGCCGGCTGCGATGCCGATGGTGAGTTTTGTGGATTGGGGGAGGCCGTGCGCGTGTTCGGGGAGGGGGGTGGAGGAGGAGGTGGTGGTGTTGGAGGAGTGGGTTGGTGTTGTTGAGTTGCTGTCCAAGGGACACTGGAGGGTATCTAGTGTGATGGTTTTGTTGGCTTCCTGGCAGAAGCCGGCGAAGTAGTGAAGCGCGCCTGGAGCGGTTAGATACGCGTGCGATATGGGAGGGGAGGGGAGCGTACCGATGCGGTCGTTTGGCGAGCATGAATTCGGCAAGCAGCACGATATGCCGTTTATCAGCGCTGTGTCAGAGCAGAGACACAACACATCGGTTGGATTGCACGCGCTGATAAACACGGCATTGTTCACACATCCGGCCTTGCCTATTAGCCAACATCCCCTCAAATTACTCAAGGAGCATACATACAGCACACTGCGGCAAACCATTCAGTCCCGGCCCATCACCCAGCGCAAAAGCCGCACAAAGCAGCGCAACTACGATAGATAAAAGCACCATTCTCCGTCGAAACTGTCACGGACAAAATGCGCAGGAAGAAGGAGATGATCTAACCTGCCTCTTCCCACCGGTCAACTTCCCCCGCTGGGCCCCGCCTACATTTAACCAGCGCAACGAGCTGAAAACGCAGCATCAGCCTCAATCTCCCCGTCAAACCCAGCATCACTGTGGCTCACCATATCCAACCCCAGCCAAGCAACGCTACATCCGTACTCCGCCTCAAATAGCAGCCTCCCATCGTGGCAACTCCACCGCACCATGCTCCCTCCCCGTTCAGCATCTGCACCTCCCCCTCACCAGCGCGCCCGGGCACCGGTTCCGAGACTTGAGGCCACCCCGCGCATGACCAATCGGTGTGGCGAGACAAGCTTGCCTCTGCATCCGTCCAGCAGCACACTCGGGCCCGCCGGTGGGATTGGCGGTACGGTCCGGCGAGCCCGTTGACACATGCCTACGGCGTGGCCTCATTGGCCTGATGTTTGATGGCGAACGCCCGACGGTGTGGGGGGGCGTTCAGCCGCAGTCACGTGAAAGGCTTGGTTGGTGAGCGTCACCGCTGGGGACTGCGAAGGCCGTGTGGCGGGAACGGCGGGGGTAGAGGTCGGGGGCCAAGGAAGCAAAAGATGAATCATCGCCGGCCAGATGATGATCGTGGGGTTGGTGTGATGTTAACATAGAGGGTTGGGGCAAAAGGGCAAAAAATTATCAGGATGGTCAATACGGGGGTCGAACCCGCGACCTTGGCGTATACATGAAGGTTCATATTAGCACCACGCTCTAACCAACTGAGCTAATCGACCTGATTTGATGTGAAGAACAACCATTGCTTTGTAAATCTTGTGTTTGCAAAGCAGTAAACGCGCGAGATGTCGCGCCGAGGCTGGTGTGCCGATCGTAACTGTCGAAGCCCCCCGAGGAACTCGTAGCCGCTGACTCCGCACTAAACGCGGGGGAGGAAAGCGACGACTTTCCCGGAGGGCCCTTAGTCCCAAGTCCGCATGCGCCTCGCGGCAATCGCGTCTAAAACATCGGGATTAGCCGCCAAAATCTCCACCCTCACAACCTCAACACCACCCCCCACACCTTTCCCCACCACCCTCTCACACACAATGGCCAAGCGCGCCCTCGCAACCGACGTAATCGTCAAGCTCCTCGTCGGCGCAGGCCAGGCCTCGCCCTCGCCGCCCGTCGGCCCTGCACTCGGTAGCAAAGGCGTCAAGACCATGGACTTCTGTAAGGTGCGCTTCACACGCTACGGCCCAATTGCCCGCTACGCTCGCGGGCTCGCTGTGCTCGTTCGCCTCGCTCTCTCGGCTCGCTAACGCTCGCCCAGGAATTCAACGCCCGCACCGCAAACTACATAACCGGCACACCTATCCCCGCGCGCATCACAGTCCGGCCAGACCGAAGCTTCACCTTCGAGCTGCGCACGCCCCCGACCGCAACTCTCCTCTTCGCCGCCGCCAACGTCAACGTGGTCAAGAACAAAGTGCGCGGGGCGGGGAATGTGCCCGGTCCGAAAGCGAACACCGAGAATGCGTCCGGCAAGGCCACGGGGGCGGGCGTGCAGGTCGGAAATGCTTTGAAGGGGACGGTGGGGACGGTGAGCTTGAAGCATGTGTATGAGATTGCGCGGATTAAACAGAGTGAGACACGGCTTGCGGGGTTGAGTCTGGAGGGGATGTGTAAGAGTGTTGTGGCGCAGGCGGCGAGTATTGGGGTTGTGGTTGTGCCGTAGGGGGGTGGGGAGAGGGATGGGCGTGTTGTATTATAGCATTGGGCTGGAGTTAAGGCCTTAAATGAGGCTATGAGGGCATTGGGTACAAAATTACGAGCTAGCACGGCTGGTTTTCTTCTTCATCTTCCGTTCAACTCCTGTAAATGGCTATGTATGCCCAAAATCGTACACAGTAAGTTCCTCATATGTATGTCTCCAAATCAACCCTAACGCCCCAGATGCCCCATCACGAAAGCAACCCCGCCACCCCACCTCCGAGCTCCTGTGTCGACCGCGCCGCCGCCGGCCTCTCTCCCGCCGGCTTCCCTCTCGTTCGTCCGCCATCTTTACCTCCAGCCGCCTTCCCCGACCGCCTCCCACTCGGCGCCGTATTACTCCTACTCAACCCCGGCGGCGGCACCGGCACCCCCCCCTCAGGCTGGACATTGAAATCGCTAACCACGCGCGCCAGGCTCACGCTATACCCGCCAAACCACTCGCTCCAACTCGAGCCCGTGCGCTTAATATCTGACCCACATTAGCACCCACCCATCAAAACTCAACCCCCAAACCACTTACCGCTCCGCGCCGTAACTCCCGCACTCTCCCTCCGCGACTCGAGATACCCCCGCGCGACACGCTGCGCCGAACGTATCCCCCGCTGCACAGCTTGCAAGTCCGTGTCGTCCACGCCCTCGGGGATGGGGATGCGATACCGCCCGCTGACGACGACGGCGCGTTCTTTGCCTGCGCCACGCCCGCGGGGTATTTCTTCTACCTCGTCCTCTTCCACGTCCTCGGCCCGGCCCGCATCTGCCCGCGCGCTCAGGCCTTCCAATTCGCCCTTCGCGACCGCGAGCTCCGTCTCCACGCGCGCCAACTCGCCAGTTTCGCCCTCATCCCCATCCTTTGCATTCTCCTTATCACTCCCCTCCTTCTCCCCCTCGCCCTCCTCAGTGCGCTGCCGCCGCAACCGGCGCCTCGCGCCCTTGCTCGGCTTGTCGGCCGGCTTGTCGGGGGGAGGTGCAGGCCGCGAGGCCAATTCACGGACCCGTGCTTCCAGGCCCTGGACGCGGGCTTTGAGGGCGACGAGTTCGAGGGTTGTGGGGTCGTTGGAGGGGGGGAGGTCGGTTGGGGGTGTACGGTCTGAAGGGAGCTTTTTGGGGCGGGAGCGGCGGCGGGAGGTTGAGGGCCTAGGGTCGGGAGAGGCTTTAGGTTCTTTTGGCTCGGTGGTGGGTTTGGTGGCTTCTTGAGGTGGAGGAGGAGGGGGAGGAGCGGTGGTTGTGGTTGCGGAGGCGAGTTTACGCGGCTTGCGCTTGGGTGCTTCCTTTGGCTGTGGGGTCGATTGGGGTGTCATGGTCATTTTGGTGGGTTGGCGGTGCTGGTGAGGCTGAATGTTGGATGGGGAGGAGGAGAGGTGAAGTCCATGGGGCGTGACGTCATGGGTTGGGATGCGGGTATGACGGGCCAATGTGTGGCAACCGGAAGCAAGTTTCGCTTACTGGGGTTGTACTACAAGATATCATAGTAAACAGTTGCTTGCGTGCCGATGCTGGGCGTTTTGATGGTGTGGATTTGGGGACTTCGTTTTGGCATTGGGGGTTTCGTGATAGACGGGAACTATCGTGTAAGGCTGAATTCGACGGCCCGCCTAGCGTGAGGACTTAATTCTCACGTCTGGAGTACCAACGCATCTCGAGTACAAACCGGCGAATGAGAACCGACAGGTGCCTTCGACGACCAAAGGCGGGCTGGCATCGCCTCTCTGCGCATGAAATAGACATCACAGTAGCAGTGGGCAAATGTCCATTCTACTCTCCCAACGCCCGCTCCCAATCCCATCAGTACAACTTCATATCCAGCCCAAAAACCTGGGACCAGTGTCCCTCTAATGTACAGGCCTTGCTGCTATCCACACAGAACGCCATCGTGATCGTAGAAGTCCACCGCTCAAACCTGCCCAAGGGATGTGTACAATCTCCACCCTCCCGCCAACCCAAACGCCCATACTCTGAGAAACAGCTCCTACACCTTGCCCTCATCATCGCTATCCTCATCACTCAACCGACTCGCCCCACTGCCCTCCGCACCGATCGGTAGAGGCGTCGGATTGGCCTCTTTCCGCGTTGGCTTGACCGCAACACGCTCCTCCACCTCCTCCTCCTCCTCATCCTCCTCCCCCATCAATCCCTCCCCCTCATCCCCACTCTCCTCGCCTGGCGCAACAACATACTCCCCCCCCGTCTTATCCTTAATAAAGCTATCAATAATCCAGTACTGCATCGCATTCATCACCAGCGGGAAAACAAACATAACGAACACGATCTGCATCCACTGCTTGCCCTCCGTCCACCGCAGCGCCCAGTCGCCCACCCACCCCAGCCAGGGCAGGACCTGGAAGAGAAACAGCACGCAGAGTTTCATGCCAAAGAGGCCGAGGAAGTAGATGAAGGATTGCTTGAGCCACCAACTGGCCTTCGGAGGGTTGCCGTAGTTACCGCTCTTGAGCGACTCGGGCGGGTTGGCGAGGGCTGTTCGGGCGAAGAGCGCGTGGAGGACCCGGAGCAATACCACTAGGATCGCGATGCCGATCGTCGTCTGCCCATCATTAGCCTCTCCCCAAAAAAAAATCTCAAAAGAACCACTTACATCAATCCCCAAATTCAACAAATAAAACGAGCACGGATTCGGCTGTCTCCCATCCTCCATCTTCACCCCCTGCACCGCATCCTTCGCCCTATTGATATCCAAATCCCCACTGCTCAACATGCTCATGAACAGATTCGCCAGGTGCAGCAGCATGCTCCCAACTACCTGCTTGCTCACGTCGAAGGACCACACCTTCAACGGCCGGCGGGGTGTCTCGCGGTAGCGCTTCCACACGAGCGAGAGCAGCGCAAGCGCACCTAGCGCGCCCTGCACCAGCAGCGCGAAAGGACCGAGCAGCTTGCACTCATTGTTGCCATGCTTCGGTCCATCCTCATGCCCCTTATCCTCCTTCCCACCCTCCTTCGCCGGCTTCACAGCCGTAAAATCCCCCGGCGTAGGCACCGGCACCGGCGGCGCCGTCGCAATCACCATCTCCACCTCCACGCCATCAATACTAATCAGCTCCGTATCAAACACCAGCGTCGCCTTGGGCGGAATCGGGCCGGTGCCAAAATCGCCATATCCGAGTTCGGGAGGTATGGTCAGTCGCCTCGCCTCGCCCGGACACATGTCCAGAAGGCCCCGGTCCCAGCCCTTGATGACCTGGCCCAGGCCGAGGGTGAAGGCGAACGGTTTCTTGCCCGCGCCGTAGCTGGTGTCGAATTGTGTACCGTCTACGAGGCGGCCCCGGTAGTGCACGTGGATTGTGTCGCCGGAGCGGGTGGGGCGGGTGCATGGCTGGGCCTTTGTGGTTGTGATGGCGACTGTGGGGGGCGTGGCGAGGACGGAGGGGAGGAGGGCGAAGAGGGCGACGGTAGGGAGGCGCATCGTCGCGATGGTGAGGGTGGCGGTGGATGTGGTATTCGTGGCCGCGGTGAGGTCCGTAGATTGCGGGCCTAAAGGTGAGCGAGGGACCGCGATAAAGGGTGTCGTCAACAAAGGCGCTACAACATATCCGTCCCCGTCTCAGTGCGTCTCGATTCAGAACCTTCAGGAACAGGCGATAGCGGTGAAGAGTGTCGTTAGGAGGATGGAGGCGAGATAAGGTTGTAGGTGGTGAGGGTGACTGAGCAAGTCAAATCAACGATGGGCGGCGAGACGGGGGGGGCGCGTGCCCACCAACCCCCAGCGCTGTGCAGCGGCTGCGCCTTGTTTGGGCAATGCAACACGCTGGTGCATGCCACCTCCGCACTCTGCGCCCAGCGGTCGAGACCGGACTGGCTTGAGTTTCACGGGCACATGTCAATATCCCGATATTGTGCTACTCTCGACACATTGTAGCGAGTCTCTACGTAGCACAGAGGGCACAAAGCAATGCACGGTAACGACTGCGGAGGCAGAACTATGAGGGGGTATATCTCCATAGTCCAAAGCATCGCTACGGTAGATGGTATCCGCTTGTCTACCTACATTCATCACATCGCATTTCACCTC